TGTGAAGTTTTATCTTCTTTTATAGTTTCGGAAAAAAATATCCGACAAAGTTATAACATATGTTAGTAAATTATAAATTATATCAGACTAATAAAATATTTAAAATCGATAAACAATAAGTTAGTTAATTTTAGAAATTTATTTTTGAAAATGTTAGGCTATGTTTGGCGTACTAGCTGAAAAGCTAGCTGATAGCTGAAAAGCTAGCTGTTAAATAAAAAGCTAGCTGATAGCTGAAAAAACTAGCTGATAAAAAATAACGTTTGGTAAAACTAGCTGAAAAGCTAGATGAAATATATAAAATTACATAAAATGACATGTAGGAGTTGTGTTTTTATAATTAATTAAGGGGTGTATTTGAAAAATTTTTAAAAAGCTCCTAAAAAGCTAGTCTAAGCAGCTTTTCAAAAAGCTAGTTTAAAAGCTACTTTTTGGCTTACCAAATACGACAACATAAAAAAACTCGAAAAATAAGCTAGCTTATCAGCTAGCTGTGACACGCCAAACACAGCCTTAACCATTAGAGATGATAATTGGTAAAAAAAATGTTTGATAAAAATGAATGAAAAAATAATATAATAAAAATAATAAGCATTTGTGAAATTAATAATTGGAGATGTTCTTATAACCACATGAAAATTTTCCACAAGTGTTTTGAATATATGTTCATCTGCCGTTAATGTCTCTTACGTGAATTTACATTGACATCTCGTTTTTATAATATTATATTTTATCAATTAAATTAATGTAATTCAGGCAAAAAAAAAAAATCTGATTCCATATTAGAGTCCATCTTAATACATTTATGTATCGAATTTTATGTGATATAAGGTTTAAATACGCAAATAAAAAAAATATCCGTCTAACATTTAGTGATATATTGGTAGCAAAACTAAACTTGGGTATGCTGTGAAAAAGGGAAAGGGCACTTTAATTAACCACTAGTTGACACTTTTTTTTTAGGAGAGAGAGTTTGTGTTCTTCCATGTGTTAGTATCAAAACACGAGGAATCCTTGACACATACATGTTTAAAAGTTTTTTGGCCTTTTATATTATGTTTGTATTTATCTTGATTTCACATAAGAACACATGCCATACGAAAATTTCTATTAAAAATTTAAATCTTTAATGTTTTAACCTTAATGTCGTATATGATTCTAAGTTTGTCCAATCATTGAAAAAAAATTACCGTCATTAAAACAAAATCAAGACATAATATTATGTTTGTCTCTTAATATGTCAAATTGGTAATACAAGATAAACTAAATATTTTTATGCTATTTCAAATATCAATATTAAAATTACCGTCATTAACACAAAATCATTATAAGACTAGCCCATTTGATAGATGTTTTACCTCTTAGATAGGGGTCATTGGTTCTAATCCAGATGTTTGCGAATTTAATTAACTTAGTGATAATAAATTTCAACTAATAACCAATCGTTAAAAAAATAGACAATAATATGATTGTACGTGAATATGTCAAATTGGTAATACAAGATATGATGTATGTTAATACATCAAATTTGTAATAGAAGATAAACTAAATTAATAATGTTTGGTAAAAATTAGTTAATAAGCTATATATAATTAATTATATTTGGAATATTTTTTAGAAAAAGCTCAATAACTTCTCAAAAGCTAACGTATAAGCTAGTTTATAAGCTATAATAAATTATTTTTTTATTTTACCAAACTGAAAATTAAAATAAACTAACCTACAAGCTAGCTTAATTTTACTAAACCACATCTAAATGTTTAATGTTCTTTCAAAAAGTAAACATGTCACTTTGAAACCAACTAAGGGGTCGTTTGATAGTTGGTAACTGGGTTAGAGTTGGTCGGGTTAGAGGCTGACTGGGTTAGAAGTTCTGACTGAGTTAACTTCTGATCGAAACTTTTTGTTTGATTTTTACATCCAACTGACTGTACAAAATGACTATATTACCCTCAAACAACATTTTTATAATAATTCATTTATGATTAACCATTTAATTTATAACATTACCGTGTAATTTACAAAATGGATATGTTATTTACAACCATTCTTATAAAAAGATGCATATTAAAATATAAGACAAAGACAAAATGATATAATTTACAACTATTCTTCAAAAATATAACACTAGGATCATAAGTAAACAGTGTTATGATACATATACTTAATCAATTCTAAGGTTTATACAAAATTCATGGATCATACATACACCATTTCTCCAAACTTCATCCATTCTAGTCTAATCCAATCATCCACTACATCATATCATACAAAACTAAACACTACCACTACTTTCTACTTTTAATTTACACCAATGATTTCTTGTTGATTTAATTTGTGGAAATAGAACTAAAATCAGCTTCTAGGCCTTCATAACTATCTTTAACATGATATATTGTATCATATACATCTTCATATGCTTCTGCCATGGTCAACTCGTCCAAATCCAAAAGAAAATCAGTCTCATACTTATTGCTTTCCTCAAAACCAACATTCTTGTTAAGTTCATCTTTGAAGACAAGTGACAAACAATAAAAGATCAATCAAATTTCTGAAATCCATACACAAATAAGATGAAATTTCTGCAATTAAATACACAAATTGCATCTAATTTCAGGAAATAGATACACAAATAACATCGAATTCCAGAAAATGCATACATATGTGCATCTAATTTCAGAAAAAAAAGAAAAAAAACAGATGAAAAAAATTACCGTCGGAGTTGCAGATCGACCCTGGTGGAGGAAAGTGCTGAAGAGGAGGATGGTGGACTAGCGGTGGACGACGGCGTTGTTGAGTAGGGAAGGGTCGGCGTCGATGGAGAAACGAGACGGCGAAGGAAGAAGGCTGAGGCTAGGAAGGGAGCGTCTGTTAAGAAGAAATTTCACCAATCTTGTATGAATTGGAAGGAGGTCGGAGCTTCAGGAGGCGTCGCTGGAAAGGGTAGGTGAAGTCGGAGGGAGGAGAAGAGAGGAGCGACGCAGATGATGTCACTGATGTAGAGTTGGGCAAGGAGAAGAACAAGGAAACGAGAATGACAAGGGCAAATAAGGGTTTTTTTCAGTCAGCTTCCTTTTTGCCATGGACCGAGTCAGGCAAATTCTCAAGACCGAGTCAGAATATTGGACTTGGTGAGACACAATTAGCCCTATATCAAACAGCCTGACCGGACCTAGTCATCAAAAAGTACTGACCGGACCCGGTCAGCTCCTTACCAAACAGGGCCTAACTCAGCTCCGATTTGAAGGCTAGGCCGATGAGTATGTGTCACATTCATAAAAGAAAAAAAAAAAAAAATGCGTTGAGGGACGATGTGATGGTAACGGAGCTTAACACGATTTGAACGGGAAGGTGTTCTCTTAGCCTTAACGGCGTTATTGGCCTTCCATATAGGATCATCCACTGCATGGAAGAACCATACCGACATCTCTAATATATTAATATTTGATCTTACATGTTGGTGACAATATACAAAACTTATTTTTCTAAAATTTTATAATACTTGACATGATAATTCATATGGTTTATTAATTTATAAACGAAAACACAATGTGCTTTGTATCCTAACAATATTAATATATTATGTAAGATCAACGTTAGCAAATTATAAGTATTCGAAGAAACAACATTCCATACATAGTCAAATACATTACTCTAATAAACATCTTTTATGGACCCATTTTAAGGAAAATCAAATTTCTTTTAATATAGTAAGAAAAGTTATAATAAATGTAAAGTTTGTGCATTCAATGCAAAGTGCTCTCGGGCCTCACTCGTAAAAAAAGAAAAATGGTAAATTTCACTTTTGGAAAGATGAGGCCGACCCCGAAGCCATCACATGCGGTAAATCATGGAAGAGTAGTAATATTTTAACTATGGATTTTCTTTAGAAATATATCTAAATCAATCACTAGACTCTTATAAGTTATAACATGTCTGAACTATTTTGTCTTGGGTCCGTTTTCTTCAAAACAGAACGGACCTAAAAAAAATTCTATATGTGGGCAAAATATAGCTTCACTAGTGATGGGCAGTTTCACTAGTGGGGCTAAAGATTTAACTACTTAGATATGTAAAAGGTCTACAATATATCCCAAATGGGTCTCCGTTGATTCTTTAACAAATTTTTTGTTTCTTTTCTTATTTTTCAAACAAGTATAAATTACTTACTGGTAAAAAGATATATTTATAAGTATTATCTTCGCATAACCATATTAGTTAAATCAATTTTATAGTTGTTTTTGACTAAATTCCTAAATCATCAATAACAATTCTTCTAAGCTTTAACAAGAAAGATTCGCCTTAAGTTTAGGACAAAAAATGAAATTGTTAATTTAATAAAAAGGAAACAAATGGGCTTGAAAAGATAAAAATAGTCCCCACAAAGATTGCCCCTCCTTGAAGCCAAGGGAACATATATACATAGACTAACCAACACCCTTTCAAGGTATTCTACACACAATTTTCTTCAATGCTGCTTTTTTTTTTTATCGTTTGTCTTTTAACCAACTATCAATTATAATATAAATAGGAAATATCCCAACAGAAAGTTTGTTCTTGCAAATTATAAATAATTTAGCGACAATTTTTGTTAAAACGATTGTTAATTTGTTACAAATTCAGTTAATTAAGGTCAATTTTGAGATTCACTAGGGGCAGAAACTGCTTGTTTAGGAACCAACCACGTATCAAGACTTGCAAGACAACCTACATTGATGATCCTTGGACCCCTCAAATTTTGTGACTAAGCATATCCCCTTTAATCAACACTATGATTAATATGGTTCCTACGTTCGTACATGTCACACTTTATTAGAAACGTAACTAGATGTATCATATGCTAAAAAGGAAATAGTTTAAGTAATCATACAACCAACTTCTAAATAGACAATGTTGGTAGAATCAGTTTTCCTAACTTTGTTTTACTTTAGAAGCAATCTTTTTATTTTTTTACATAACTCTCACTATAAAACACCTTCCATCCTTCACACATATGCATCCAACTCCATCACCCTTCAAACACACTCCCACACACGATGGTTTCAGCAAGGAATCCACCGAGGTATGTGTGTGTTATAGGTGCTGGGCCATCGGGGTTGGTGGCTGCAAGGGAGCTCAGGAAAGAAGGGCACACAGTCGTGGTGGTGGAACAAAATCATGATGTTGGAGGGCAATGGCTGTATGAACCTAAAGTTGAGGGTGAGGATCCTTTAGGAAAGGGTAAGGCTTTAAACGTTCATAGCAGCATGTATGAGTCTCTAAGGCTCACCTCGCCTAGGGAGATAATGGGGTTCACAGATTTCCCTTTCTTGATCAAGAAAGGTAGGGATACAAGGAGATTTCCAGGCCACAAGGAGCTTCTCTTGTACCTAAAGGATTTCTGTGAATGGTTTGGTTTGAGGGAGATGATTAGGTTCAATACTAGAGTAGAGTATGTTGGGATGTTGGATTATGGTGAGTTTGGAAAAGATTTGAGATGGGTTGTTGAGACTAGAGCTAAAGATTCTGATAAAGTGGTATCAGAGGTGTTTGATGCTGTCGTTGTGGCCACCGGACACTATTCCCAACCTCGGTTGCCTTCTATCAAAGGTCAAAATCTTCTCCTTCTATTATACATATATACATATAAATATATGACTCTGTTTTTCTGTTTTTGTCTGTGTTCTCGTATATACATATATGATATGTCCCTCTCATCTGTTTCTACTTTCAAACTGTAAAGGAATGAGTGCATGGAGAAGAAAGCAAATGCATAGCCACCTTTACAGGGTCCCAGAGCCATTTCGCGATCAGGTAACCAAATATTTTTTTCCTCTAAACTACTAATCTTGGTATCAAAAGACGGAGTTTTTTAATGGCTTAGTTATTTGCAGGTGGTAGTGGTGGTGGGGAACTCACTAAGTGGACAGGATATATCAATGGAGCTGGTGAATGTAGCCAAGGAGATCCATCTTAGTTCCAAGTCGCTTCATGTTTCAGAGGGTCTATCGAAAGTGATCTCCAAACATGATAATCTGCATCTTCATCCGATTGTACGAATAATTTCTTGAGTAGAGATTCCATAAAAAAAAACATGCAGCAATTTAACATTATTCTAATGTGTTGCAGATAGAATGTCTACACGAAGATGGACGGGTTGAGCTTGTTGATGGATCATGGGTTATTGCAGACACAATCATATACTGCACAGGGTAAAACAATAAATAAACCACCATAACTTTATTCGTATACAAGCTTTGGTTCCGAAAGGAGGTGTATAAAATCATATATGCATGCAGGTATTCATATTCATTCCCGTTTCTTGACACCAAAGGAGCAGTAGCTGTTGATGATGACAGAGTGGGACCCTTATATGAACATACCTTCCCCCCAAACCTTGCCCCATCTCTCTCCTTTATAGGCATTCCTAGAAAGGTAAAAGCCATTTTGCTTTTAGTTACTTTAACTGCATATACACTTTATGATCATACGGTTTCTTGATGTGTAATACCATCAAAAGCTTTCTTTAGCTTACTTTAATTAAGGGGTTTTGATTGATGTAGATCATAGGGTTCCCTTTCTTTGAATCGCAAGCAAAATGGATAGCTCAGTTGTTGTCTGGCAAGAGAACTTTGCCATCAAAGGATGAAATGATGAAGTCCATACAAGAGTTCTATAAGGCTAGAGAAGCTGCTAGTATTCCAAAGCATAATACTCATGATATAGCCGAATTCGAGGTAAACGCATGAATGGTTATAGTTTTCATGGGACTTATAGAGTTAGTTTTTGTAAATTTTCTGGAATACTTATTGCTTTTTCGATCTTGCAGTACTGTGATAAGTATGCAGACTTTGTTGGATTCCCACACTTGGAAGAATGGAGGAAAGAACTTTGCATTTCAGCTCTGGTCAACTCAGATGTGAACTTGGAGACTTACAGGGATTGCTATGATGATGAAGATCTGCTTCAAGTTGCTAATGAAAGTCCTCATTTTACTCAACTTGAACCTGAAGCTTTTTGTTCCCTGTAAACTTTAATTAAGTTCGATATTATATAAGATATATAATATGATTAGAATTCCACCGAAGGCTTTTGTTGCTTCCGAAAGCAAAGATGAATGGAATGCTTTTGCTTTCAGAAGCAAGATAGTACAACCAGAAAAACTATGATTCGGAAGGACTCATCTTTTTTACTTGGACAACAACCCAACAATGGCATAGCTTCAAGTGTATCTTGTTGGATTTTGAATGTTGTGTCCTTTACATATTTCTTATGTCAATATCTTAGTTTAATTTCATATATGTTTGGCTGAATTCATGCCATGTTCTTCTTGTTACTAATTACAATATTCGATTAACCATTATAATTAGCGCAGCAGTGCACCCAATTCATCACCATAACTCCAAAATTACCTATTAGAGATATTACGTTGAGAAATTTCAAATGACCAAAATAGTAACCACACTTCCAAAAAATTCCCAAAAAAATGAGCATTTTCAAGACTAACCGTCTACTCCGCAGAGAGACTTTTGCAGACTTGTGATAACTGTTGAATATTAGGGATATTTTTTCGTAATTTTGCTTAGTCCGTAGTACGGTACCTAAGTCTGTACTAACTTGTATGCGGACCGGAGGAGGAGGAGTGCTGGTACTTTGTACTAACTAAGGGAGAAGGGAGTCATTCCCTCCTAATCCACTCAACTCACTGCCACATCAGTTTTTCTTTTTCATTTTTCTTCATATTTCTCAACCCACAACACATGGAAACCATATATTTTTCAACTCACTCAACTCATTCAATTAAAAAAATACAAAACAATCAAGGTAAAATCTTAATTATCAATAGAGTTACCGCCGATACCACTCACACTTCAGCGGGTTGTTTAATTGGTTTCACTAACACATTTCATCCTCTCTCTACTTTCTCTCTCTCTCATTTTCTCTTTTACCATGTGTTTTAAGACTTGTACCTTAGTTTTGTATTTTTTTTAATTGAATGGGTTGAGAAATATAGGATTTCCGTATGTTGTGGGTTGAGAAAGATGAAAAAAAAAGACAAAAAGTAATGTAACAGTGGGTTGGGAGGGAATGACTCCCTCCTCCCTTAGTAATATAAATTTCGATATATCAGATTTCATTTATTGTTTTATTGTGGAAAATTAACTCTTCAAGTGAAAGTTGGAGAATGATCTTTTACGTGAAAAGTTATCAAACAATATATATGTAACATCCTAAAATTCAAGACCAAAAATTTCATTTTTAAATAAGTTATTATAAAACCAATTAGTATAGTAACATCCATAATAACATCCCATGTCAAAACCAAAGTGTAAATAATCAAAACATATTAACATAAAACAATATCATAGTGTAATCCCAAGGATCTCATGTGCGGAAAATATAGTGTGATGCGTTGCGATCAAGCCGGCTCCTTTCCTTTGAAAACAAACTACCTTAAACCAAAACTGTAAACCGTAAGCACAAAGCTTAGTGAGTTCCCCCATCATACCATATACCATACAATATACATACCGTCTAACATATCTGGGTACTGGACTACCCCCTTCGGTCTCTTTCAACCGGTAATTGCCTAGCATACCAAGGTGCTGGCCTACCCTTTCGGTCCTGTCGACCGGTACCTCGCCTAGCATATTAGGGTGCTGGCCTACCCCTTCGGTCATTTCGACCAGTACCTCGCCTAGCATATCAAGGTGCTGGCCTACCCCTTCGGTCCTTTCGACCGATACCGGGGACTATTTCACCCCCTACTTCTACCACATATCATACTAGCTCATAAACACATAAATCATATACTGCCTAGTTTATCAGGGTGTTGGCATACCCCTTCAGTCCTATCCACCGGTACTGGGGTCTATCCTACTCCTCCTATCACATATCACATAACATCATAACATACTAGCACATAAAGCATAACATACCAGATGATTATCACAACGACAATCATCTAACAACCAACTCCTACTAGTGGGTCGGCATTGTGGCCTTAGACCCACTTCTACTGGAATGTAACTCACCTCGCACTGCTGAAGTCCCGCAGACAAAACTCTAGCTGCTAGATGATAGGTTCCCGAACTGTCAACATCAAAATAACACCCAATTAATCATTGGGTTCCAACACATATCCATAAGTCCATGCTTGGGGTAAAAGACTACTCTACCCTAACTTAGCTTGATTCAAGCCCAAGGCCCAATCCAAAGGCCCAAAAGTCAACTATGAGTCAAGGCCCAACATATGGCCCAATTCCAATGACCCAAAATGCGGGTCCCGATAAGTCCAAGTCCATAATTCCAAAATTAGGGTTTTCTAAACCCTAATTAGGGTTTCCAACCCAATCATCACCCAATACGCCCAAAACTAAGTCTTTAGATCAATTAGGGTTTTATTAGGCCCACTAGGGTTTCATAAGTCGGGCACCACCCACTACCACCTCGGGTAGTGGTGGTCAATGGCGGCTCATGGCGGCGGCCACCACCTCACGGTGGTGGTTATGGTTCTAGTCCATTTTGTCCAAGCATCCCAAAAGAAACTAAACGCAAGCAAAAGCACACTGCCATCCAACACGGCGGCTGGTGGCGGCAGCCACCACCTCACGGTGGTGGTTATGAGTTTTCTTTTCATTATTTAATCACCGATAACAATTTTACAATGCAATACCTTAAAATAAAAACACACACTACGATAGACACACACACAACCACCCTTGTGGTGACCGGTGGTGGTAGAAGGTGGCAGCCACCATGGTTGGCCGCCATGGTGGTTCCCTTACAGCTTCCGACCTATAGAAAAACGCACATACACTCCAAACAAGAGGTCGGGCCCCAAGAAAATACACACCCACACAACCACCTCGCAGCAGCATAAGGCAGTCGGCGGTCGGTCCTTGCGGTTCACAGCTTCGCTGGTGGCTTGAAGCAACACGGCGGCAGTGGCGACGACTAGCCGCTGTGGAATGGAGTCTGAGGCGAAGACAGCTGGGACAGTACTAACGATCGTCTCGGTGGCTACGGGAGTCAGAACGAAAAGAAGAAGAAGAAAGGATGGTGGTAGCGGACGTATCCAGGTGGTTATTGACTCCATCAGCGATGGTCTACTCCGGCTTCATCTGGTAAGAAGACGGCTTGTAACACCTGATTTCCGGTAAGTATTTTCTAGTATAAGTAATTTCATTTTACACTGGGACACGGCGAGTTGGAGGCCCAACTCGTCGAGTAGACTTGACTCTTGGACGCGAGATTTCAATAACCCACTCGAGGAGTCGGAGAGCCCGACTCGGCGAGTAGGACTGTCTGGATGAAACCCTAATATTCGGGGTTTGCATCCTATTTAAGCACCTTATCTTATCGCAACCCAGCCTCCATCGTCCCTCCCAGTCCATAAAAGCCCTAACTCGAAACCCTAATCATTTATTGAGTGTTCTTGAGCTTTTTGGTGCCATTTTTGTGTATTTGAAGTTGAAGAATGAGAAGGAAGCTTGAGAGATCAAGAGGAACCAAGAAGATCCAGAGGTTTTGGCACATTTCAAGCTCATTTGAGGTATAAAGCTGAAACCTTGACCATCTATCTCTTAGATCTTTAGTTAGGGTTCATTTCTACCTTTTCTAAGCCTTAGAAGTGCCATATTCAGGATTTTGGGATTACAAAGGGGTATGACTTCAGATCTGGAACCATTGAGGGTTCCTATGGCATAAAGGTGCCAACTTCATTGCCATAAGATCCCCATGCACCTTGTAGACCCCATTTTAGGGCCATATGTGCCAAATACCCCATGCATGAACGTCAAGTTTGTAACTTTATATGTATTTTGGGCCCTAGGAGGCTAGATCTATTTTTTGAATGTGTTAAACCCGACTGAAATCAACTGTATGGACATGGACTTTGGGGGACTAGGCAAGTCGTTCATGGGACTCGACGAGTCGGGGTATGGTTCCCCAACCCTTTTCTGTTTTGATCGAACTGGTTGAGTCTAGAAGAGGAATCAACAAGTTAGATGTGAAACTGGACCTGGAAATCATGGAACTTGGCGAATTCAAGAACAGAACTCGGAGAGTTCAAGGCAAGTCCCACTGCATGAAGACGAACTCGACGAGTTCATAAGGAACTCTGCGAGTCTATGGCTAAATGTGCCTTCTTGCATGAAGGAGGACTCGAAGAGTTCAAGGATGAACTCGGCGAGTCAGTTGAAGAATGTCCGGACTTGGTATGAAGGAGAACTCGACGACTGAGTGCAAGGCTCGATGAGTAGGGTCGGGGTTTTAGTGTTTTAAGGAACTGGGGACTCGGCGAGTTGTTGGGTCAACTCGGCGAGTCGAGTCAACCGAACATTGACTTTGACCCAGAGTTAACTTTGACCAAGGTGTTGACCTGGACTTTGGATTTGACCTGAGTAACCCTTGTAAGGGTTAAGAGTATGTAATGGTAAATTAAGTAAGGGTGTTATGTGTAGGAGTTGAGAGGAGTTGATCCTGACAGCGAGAACAGTTTAGACACTTCACAACACTGAGGTGAGTTACCTTCCAGTAGAAGTGGGTCTACGACCACAATGTCGGCCCAATAGTAGGGATTGTTTGTCAAGCAGTTGTCTTTGTGATAATTACTTGGGTCTGCCACTATCTGATATGTTTTATGTGCTAGTATGATATGATATTAGGTGATAGTGGTAGTAGGGGGAATAGTCCCCATGTTACGGTTGTAAGGACCGAACGGGTAGGTTAGGCACCCCGGTATGTCTGACAGTATGATTACGTTATGTTATTATGTGGTAGTAGTATGGGTGAAATAGTCCCCGTAACCGGTTGAGATAAACCGGAGGGGTAGGTCGGACACCCCTGTTTGTTTGACAGGGGTAGGTAAGGCACCCCGGTATGCCTAGCAGGGTAGGTCGGGCACCCAGATATGTCTGACAATATGTGTATAGTATGGGATGTGATATGATGGGGGAACTTACTAACCTTTGTGCTAACGGTTTTCAGTTTTGGTTTCAGGTACCACTTCATCGAAGGGGAAGGAGTCGGCACGGTAGCAGCGCATCGCACACACACGGTTTCCGCATTTTGAGATCTATGGGATTGTACTCTGACATTATTAGTATCGATGATATGATTATGATTCGATGGATTTTTATGAATTGACGATGTTTTCCAGTAAACGATTTTATAAGTAATATAATTAAAACAAAATTTTTGGTCTTGAAAATTGGGATGT